TCCCAGTCAATCCAGCTCGTTCAAGCCGCACAAGCCGTCAGCATTGCAACGTGAGGTATCGTCTTCACGTGCTCCTTCAGAACTGGAGCTAAGCACCTCAATCAGGAGAGAAGCACTCGGGTAGTCCTCGTCGCCAGCATTCATCAAGCCCGGGCTATGTACACCACCCTGTACACAGCTATGCACAAGACTCGGTGGCACAGCACTTGAGGACTGGTCAGAAATACCCCCCGAGGGGCCCTCTGAGCCAGTCCCAGTCATCGCCTCGTCACCGGTACAGCCCGGATGCATAGCCATGTTGCTTGCGGTGGCGCTCGCGGCAGTGCATGCTGCATTGCTGGCTGTAGCTCCTGATGTAGTCGGCTCCCATTCCCAGCGTGCATCTTGCCAAGAGGAGCAGGTAGCAAAGCCCGGATTGTAAGTGCCTAACATGCCCGCCTGAGCATCGGCTCCACCAGTCGCCACTGCCTCTCCGCCATGGTATCGCGTCCCAGAATCGCGGTCCCTTCCGCGAAACATAGGACCCGAAGCCGTCCTCTGGTCCCTTCCAGGAGACGGCACCCTCGTCCTCCGGCAGCGCCGTGTATGGAAATTGCCCATGGTAGGACCGCATGTGGAACAACACGTTGAGTGAAAACCAAATGCAAGTAGCTGGCATCCGGCGGTCTCACAAATCCTGATTCTTCTAAATTCCCCTGGTCCAAGGAGCTGGCGTCTGGTGTGGCTACTTCCACTGCCCAAGCGACAGGCACGGCAGCAATGACGATGCCGTCCAGCTGGAAAAGCTCGCTGGCAGCCCCGGGTAGCGCAAATAGCAAGCATGGGCCTCGGAGGGGAAATCTGAGCTGCTGAAAAGCCATTGTCAGGCGGCACATCAGCCGCAGAGGCCATTGCAGCAGTGACCTAAGTGCTCAGGCTTCAGGCAGCAGCACTCATGACCATTGCAAGCCGCGTATCTGCATCAGCACACTACATGCAGCTTTTGCAAGGGCGCTCGCGTGGAATGTAGCACTAGTGCACACCATACTGGCACTCTTTGCCCCAGAGTGCAGCGCAACGACGTCCGACTCAGCGGACACAGCAGCCTAAGCCTAGAAACCGAAGGGGAAGGAGGGGGAAAACAGGCGAGGCACACAACCGAGAGAACACCACTAGGACCCAAAAGACCTATCACGGCGGGATGAAGCCGAGTTTAACGAGGAATTCTTTGGCCCCCTTCAGCAGCAAATCATGGCATCGAATGGTGTAGGCAATAAGCGTGATCCTGGTGCCCGACCATTGACATGTGGCGTGACACTGCTTTGCCCCCGAAAAGAGCAGGCCACAAGCGCTGGTAGGGTGAAGCTCACCCGCCACCATGGAGCCATCAACGAGCTGGTAGTGTCGCCCGCCAGGTTGCTCAATCCAAACCTCTCCCGAATCGTGATGCGTAAGTCCCATCAACAGACTCGGCACCCCATCGCAGTTACCTTTGTCATAGTGCGGGGTGGTATGGTTGTTGTAGGTGAGCACGAGCGTTGTCCAACAGTGCTGCGCCGAGACGGAGCGCACCGCTGCATTGAGTAATGTGCAAACCGCCTGGTGACAGGTGGTGTGCTTGTGGATGCCCAACAGGCCGCCCTTGTTGAAGGCACCGAAGGCAAGCACGCGCCCATTGCCATGTGGTCGCCGATCGTCACGAAATGGCAGCAAAGTCGCAACCTGTCTGATCGCCGTCCAAAGAGCACCAGAGCCCTCCATAAGGTGTGCCTCGGCACATGCCTCAGCAGGTGTGCCGGTCTCAGCGGCAGCCCTCGGCAGTGGTGGGAACATCACCCGGGTTTCGCCCCGTAGGTGCAGCGTCAGCTCGTCAGCATAGCACAGAAATGTGGACAGTGCATCATCGTCCAACAAAGCCTGGGCAGTCGCCACGATGTCATTCCGGGCAGCAAGAGCCAGGTTCGGCGGGCACGTCATGCCGTCAGCCGGCAAAAGTGCACGTAATGCCTGAATCAGAAGATGCTCTTCTAGCGCCACCAGATACATGTGCGCGGCAGCTCTAAGCTAACGGCCATGATGCTTCACCGTGAACTACCAACAGGACAGCTGGAGCGGCTGGCGCTGGCAACAAGACAGAAATATAAATGCACAGGTACCATCCCAGCCTACCGGTGCACGCAGCGCTTGTGCAGTAAGCGCCGGACAAGGCGTGCGATCGAGGGGCACGAAACTATTGCAATGCTTTGGCCAAAACAACATGACTGTGCAAGAACTGGAAGCGGAGAGCTCTCAAAACGCGAATTCAAAAGGTGTGGTCCGCACGCCAACATAAGCAGCACTCTTTTGCACGGTTGTGTCCGAAAAGAGATGCCACAGTCTGTGCATCGGCAGCGGTGGTCATTAACCCTGGAGGCCAGGAATTAGGGGGACCTAATCAAGCCTATGAGGTAGCAATCCTTCCTTATGGAGAGTATATCAACCTCAGTAGCAGGCCTCGGGGCAACACGGTCATTGCAAACATGGAATTCCCAGTCAGCTTCAGGTCCCTCGCTCCCAGGCACACTTAGCACCGCCTGATAATGACCAGAAGTGGTGGAGTCTCCTTGATGTATGATGGTATATGCCACATAGAAGGCCTGATGACTGGTACTAATCCCCTCAGGACCATCAAAGACGGGAACAGCGATGGTCTGTCCTGGCGCAAAGTTGATTGAACGTCGGTTTTTTCTGGGGGGTGTCAGCTTCAGAGTGGTAACGTTTGAGCTGCAACACAAGAACCCCGTGATGGCCTACTAACGCATGTGGTGCATGTTGTGTAGCCCAGCCATCAACTACCGATTGCAGGTCGTCGCCTTCCAAGTCCATTGGCAACGGCGAAGCGAGCCTGCCAGCATCCACTACCTGCATCGGGTTAGAAAGGCGCGACTGCCAGCATCCATGGTATGCTGAGGGAGCGCTGCGCGCGAGCAGATGTCGCATGAATTCAGCAGCATCATGCTGTCGTGTGATGTGGCGCCATCCCCGAACTAACGGAACCCAAGGCAGGCAACTAGGTAGGAAAGGGCTACCAGGCTTTGTGACAAGTCGGATGGCTGCCTCTGCCGCACCATAGCAGAGCCGTGGTCGGCCAGTGAGGGCTCCGATCCACTGAAAAGCCTGCGCACAAGAGTTGATGTAACAGATATTGTGCGGGTTCTTCAATTTGGCATGTGGGATGCAGTGGGCATCACACGCCAATGACACAACATGCGCTGCCACAACAGCAAGGCCTGCAGGAGCAAAGATATCCTCCTCTATCGCCCCCCGCGCCGGTTCCGACGCGGCTTCCAATCCGTCCACGACGTGGAAAGGTAGGCCTCCTCGACCGCCTCCGCCATCGGGCCCTTGCGGAGCCGTTCGGGCCGCAGGCGCAAACCCAAAAGCTTCAAGACGCCGTTGTGAGAGAGCGTGGTCAGGGCGGTGAAGCAATCCTGGGCCTGCTGCCCCCGAAGGGACACTGATACCAGGAACGGAACAACCTCGCTCTCCGGCTCCTCCAGATCCTTGGCCGCCCTGAAGCGCAAGAGCACCAACGGGTTGCAAGCCGTCTTGAGCAGCGCATCCACGCAGTGAAGAACCTGATCGTGGGTGAGCGGGGCCTGGTCCGATACCACTTGGGACTTGGTGGCTGCATCCCATCGGTAGAACGGCCACACCGGATTGAGCGCCGTGGCTCCCTGTTGAAGCCAGCCCACCGCCATGAGGCGATCCATCTGCTCCTGATTCTGCAGCAAGTCTTGGAGGCGTGCTTGGAGCTGCTGCATCATCCCGACAAACAACACGATCCGCAGCGATGTTGTCACGGTTCCCGCACTGAAAGCTTCTTGCCAGTTGGCAGCTGTTTGCTGCATGATCGGCAGGACACTGTGCTCGCCCTCCACATCGATGAACAGCATGAAATTGCAATCGACTCTGATGCGGGAGAGTTCGTCTTCGTGCCGTAAGGCCATCTTCGTGAGGGCCTTGAGGAGTGTCGTGGTCTGCCGGTCCAGACCTGAGTTCTGCGCTTGCTGGTCCTTCTC